ACCCGTTCGGTCCCCCCTACCCCCCCCCCCCCCCCCCTTTTTTTTTTTTGCTCAATTTTATTATCTTTTACCGATTTTAATTAATGAAAATTCATATGTACAAGATGTAAGCTTCTTTTTCTATTTTGGATTCTTTCTTTTGTATACATTTTAGCTTCATCTTGAGCTAGACTTAATTGTAATGAAGAGTAAAATTTTTTCATTATATGATAGTGATAATCTTTTCTTAGAATTGAAGGGAAATTGAGTGAGGTGTTGAAGATGGGACTATAACTATGAAGTCATGAAGGAGAAAAGAGATGCTCCATTATATATTGTAAACAAAGATGAGTGAGCTCAAAGGTGGTTGTTCAGTGACCTACCAAATAACATGACAACCCATTCTCATTTCCCTTTCTTAGTCTCACAATATGCTAGTGCTTTTCAATTAATATCTTTAATGCTATACACAAAACTCTAACTTGAACGGTTATCACGCAACTGAAAAAGGAAGACTTAGTAGATTGGACCACCTCTACACTTGAAATATATAAAGAAATATCAGTAGTAAACTTATAAAGTTTGATTGATTAAATTGCAAAGTTAAGAGTCTTTACACTCCACAATATTCTATATTGTTCATTTACCTAGTCCAATTTTTCTACAACACCTAATTCGACGTGCAATTTGTTCAAGATGTTGAGAAGGCTTACATGTTGGAGACATAGGATTGATTACATAATTTTTTTTGGTAATCAATAATTTGCTTCTATTCTGTTCTGCTACTATTTATCAGCTTATATGTCATTCCCTATATTAGAACATCATAGTTGAGCACTGCTCAACAAATTTTTTTAAGACTTTTGTCTTTAGAATGTTATTACTAACTTATTACAATAAATCCGCTTATCAAAAGATACAAGATATAATGTTTCAGACAATCGTAGTTGAAGTATAACTAATTATTTAAAGGTGGATTTTTTCGGAAAATTCCGAAGGAAACCCGCAATCGCTATTTTGAGTGTGCACTGGGTAACCTGCTGATGAGGGAAATCAATCCCTAGTTTCTCATGTGAGAAATAACTCAGCCAACCCTTGCTGGTTGAAAGGTGGATTTAATTTAATAAATTTGGATGAAAGTATAAAAAATATGGGAAACCATTACGAAACAAATTAAATCAACATAATTGTTGCCTGTTGCTTGTATTGATATGTTTGGTTGAAGTTAAAAGAGGAGGTGACGTGAAGAAAAAGTTCAGTGTAACAATTTATATGTCCTTTATGTGGTAAGAGAAAATTGAAATAAAATTGGAGAGTAAGGAAAACGTTGAGTGTAATGAGCTATTTCCTTTAAGCTTTATCTTCCCAAGATTGTACGTAAACAGGAAAGTATATCACTTTTAATACCTTTCCGATTACTAACAATTGGATGTAAGCCATCAAGTTTTACTTAAAGTAAGTAAATTACTTAGAAATTACTTAGTTTCTGTACCAGCGATTGGACGTAAACCATCAAATTTTTACTTAATATAAATCCTAACCCATTAGTCATAGACTTACCAAGACTAGCCAAACATATAAAAATTAAAAATCCAAATAAATAAAATTCTTTCTCTCCAAGAATCACACGCAGAGATCTCCTTCCATATTTTAAAGCGCGATCAACAACACTAGATGCAAGACGAAAAGGAAATATCATGAAATAGGTAGCAAAAAAGGTGATGAAATACAATACACACACACACACAAAATTTTAAAAATTTAAGCAAAAAAGGATTTTTTTTTCAATGGGTACGGTTGAAATTCATTGAAAACATATAGATGAGTCAATATATAAAATTTGAGGAAGATTGGAGGTGATATGGACTGATTTGGTATCAAATTTCGTAGTTAAAATCGAGATCAAAATTTTTTTCTACGACACAAGTATCAAACATGTATCACGCATGTATCTCTCACACATGTATACATGGATATACATGTGATACACATTTGATACAAATATGAACATATGTGATACACAAATAATACACAGAGTGATACACATTATTATTTTTCATGTTTATCTTCTACTTCAAATTTTCAATTCAAACCACCTCAAAACTCCACCAAATCATCCCAAAACTGAGATTCAAACTCCTTAAGATGTACTCAATCTATTCTAATAACACCCACTCAAAAGAAAGCAGACATTTAACTTTTTTTTGCTACAAATAGCTAATTGGATAATATTGATAATATTTATAAATTGACCAATTTTTATAATAAGCTACTTATAAATGGACACAACTGGTATATTTCCGTTACTTTTTCACTAATAATTATGCTGGAACTCCAACATAATATGATGGAGTTCCAGCATAAGTACACTAGAACTCCAGCATAATATACTGGAGTTCCAGCAAAGTATATCGGTCCAGTATAATATGCTGGAAGTTCATACACAAGTGCTCGAATCTCTAGTATATTATGCTGGAACTTTCCGTGTGTTGGAGTTCCAGCATAATATGCTGGAAGTTCATACACAGGTGCACCGAACTCCAGTATATTATGCTGAACCGGTCTCTGTTGCAGCAAAATAGTGACTATTTTCCATTGACTTAGTAAACGCTGGCTATTTTTGAATGACCAGTCCGAAAACTGGCTACACCATGCTATTTTTACCTATTCATCCTAGGCCGATCATAACAAGGCTGGCATTCATTAACTGGATTCTTTACTTTGGGTCACAAAAAAGAAGCAAAAGTTAGGCCCATTCTCTGAAAATGCAATAAACTCAACGTGGGCAAAGCAGCCATTGACTAAAAAATCCATGGCTTAACGTAAAACCTTGTGTTCCTCGTTGATCTCCTCTTTTCCCTTTCTGCTTCTGCAGCTATGGCGTCTACAATAACACGCAGATTTACAACCAAACTTCTTAGAAATCCTTCTTCTTTTTCTTCTCCACTTCCATTTCTTAGGGATCCCCAAATAAACCCAAAACTTTCAACCTTCTCCGATTCCTATATCAGATCAACTCCTTTTGTCCAGAGTCAAAGTCAGCTACCATTTCGTGGGACAATTCAATACTCTATTAAACCCAATATATCACTTTCCCAAAATCAAATTAATTATAAAAACCCCAAATTTCATGCTCAGGGATTTCTACCGAGATACTTTTCATCTAGTGATGGTGGAAACCCTAAAAACCCAAGTGAGTATCCAAGTCAAACCCCTGAATTTAAGCACCAGGAGATCACAGGCCCAACTGTTGAGCGTGATGTTACTCCACTTGGAAATGAGACCCGTGAAGTGCTTGATAAAATGCTTAAAACAATGTACAGTTTGAGCAAAGGATTTGCTGTACTTGGGCTTGTACAGCTTGGTTTAGGAGCTTGGATCACTTACAGGACTCAATCCTCTCCAATTCCGGAGATCTCAATACAGAGTTTCTTGGCTTTTGGGTTACCATTTTCTCTTGCATTCATGTTGAGGCGAGCACTGAAGCCCATTTACTTTTTCAGGAAAATGGAAGAACAAGGTAGGCTGCAGATTTTAACTCTTACTCTCCAGGCTGCTAAGCAGTTGAACTTGTTTTTTGTTCGCGTTCAGGGTGTTACTTACTCATGTATTGCTGTTACTTCCCTTGGATTGATCCTTGTTGTATTCTCTAGATTCAGCAATTAATTTTCCGTTAGTATTATTACATGATCAATAGGGAAGCTGAATAAGAGTTGGCAATTTTGAATGTTCTGCTCTTTCGATTTGGAAATGAAGCTTTTGTTGCTTGAGAAGTTTTTGGTTGCCCCGTGATTTAAGTAGTTGCAAGAAATGTTTGATGTTGAATTTGTAAGCTGAATGCTGATAAAGATTTTATGGGAAAGCTTTAGCAGTGACTTCTGCAATTCAATGTCGATTACAGAAGAAAATCTATCATACCCTTTTTTTGGTATAAGCATATGGTATTCGGAAACCACTACCCACTGGCCCGACTTATCTGGATTAGCGACTTGTAGGGATCATTTTTCGAGAAGCGCTCCTATCAGGGGTTTCTCTATTCCTAGGACTCAATCCTGAGACCTCTGCTTAAGAGTGAAGGGATTCCATCCGTCCAATCTATCTTACCTTCGTTTTTGCTATTTCACACTTCCATTGATGGAGATATTTGGTCCACCCCTTACAAAACTGGCTGTGCTAGAACCACCAGAAGTCAATGTCATGCACAATATGGAGAAACTGGTAGATCAAGTAAAGAACTATGAATCACTTATAAAGCAGCTTAAGCTATATTTGTTATTAACATCTATTGCAGAACATTTACACCCGCATGCATTGAAGTAGAACAATTATCTTTACAAAAAATATATAGCAAAGTCGGAAGCTCGGGTGTGATCCTTTACATTTGTGACTTAGTATGTTCCTTTACATTTGTGACTTAGTATGTTCCATCTCTTTAGCCGAGGTTCTATCAGAAACAGTCTCTCTCTCTGCCCTTTCAGGGTAGGGGTAACCCTGCATACATCCTACCCTCCCCAGCCCCCACTTGTGGGATTACATTGGGTTGTTGTTGTTGTTATGCTCCTTGAGGAATATAGTAATATTTTAAAGTTCCGAATGGAGATTGTGTTATCAAGGTTGAAAAAAGAACAGAGACATTCTAGAGCTGGAATTTCCTTATCCCTGTAAATTGCCCGATCAATTTTTTAAATTTCGTTAGCTCCTTGAACTTGAACTTAGCTTAGCCAACATTTGTTTTTTTTTTTTTAACTACTTTGCATCTTGTTGATGCCTTTCAATGATATGGCTCTTACTTCATAAAAAATAAATAAAGAAAAGAATAGAGACATCCTTCACTGAAAGGCATCATATATAGTAAATCCAGCACCAGATTCAGGCATGTCTCAGTCTGTGTAGCATAGAAAATTAGGAGTGGTTTTATTTTGTGTCTCACACAACTTACATTAGTTGTGTGAGGCCTCTTTTTATCTCACATATTTGTGGACCCATATCTTACACATCTGGGTCCACAAAATTCTGTGGACCGCACAGTTGTGAGACAAAAAAGAGGCCTCATACAACTAGTGTCAGTTGTATGAGACACAAAATAAAATTTTTCGAAAATTAGAAGTTGGTCAAAAATGTGTCCATTTCAGCAAGTGTTTTGGTGGAAAGTGTGCTTGTAGTTAGTTTGTCCAAGTCTACTTTTGTTTCGTTTAGAGGAGTTTGATAAATGAGATTTAATTTCGATTTAGAAAAGTCAATTTGACTGTGTTGCATGATGCTGCAATTGCTGATTGTTATATTATCAACTGTTCAACCAGTTCATATAAAATACTAGTATTCAACATGAAGTAGGGAATATTATGAGAAATTATCAAGTATTGTTACCTATATTAATGAATCTAGACATGTTGTATATCTGGACAATATGATTCTAGAAGAGCTTGTATCAAGATTGGACAGAGTAGCTGAGTGATCCAGCTCACCATGTGATCTCAAGCTTGACATATTGTTTAATCTTGTTGGAACGCGTAATTATGAGCAATGTAAGTTGCTTGAATCTTCATTTCTTGCACACCTTTAGTAGCGTGTATAATGCACTATAGGTGATTCGTGTCTTGTCTTAGTGAGAAATGTTAGGAGTAATTTACAAATGGAATTTAGCAGCTAAGAATTAGGGGGGTTCATGATTTCTTGCTGGTTTCCTGGAAGGTGGTTGGAAGCTGGAAATGTCATTTTTCCTCGAGGGTTTCTTCAGAATCGACAATTTAATGAGTGAAGTTTCCCTACTTCCTTCCGGTGCTTCCTCATTTCTTCTCCAATCCTAATCAAATGTAATTTTTTTTAGTTTGTGAAAAAATTTAAAACATAGAAATAAGAAAATTATAACACGTTTGTTTAAGTTTTTTCCACATTTGAAAATTTAAATCACGGAAATAAGTTTCTGAAGTTGCTTTTCAATGTACAAGTTACTGCCATTCACAAAAGTCTCAAAATCTTCAAAAAGAGAATAACTGTCGAAACATGTGTCTCCTTTTGCACAGACATTATTTTCAAAAAAGAACTTCAATTTCAAAACTCGAAACCTTTCGAATTAGTAGGCGTTTGGACATAACAATTGTAAAATTCGAGAAAATTGTTAATTCTTTTTTCAAGTGAAAATGGTATTTGAAATTTAGCTAGCGTTTGGCCATAGATCCCAAATTTATTTTGAAAAATCTGATTTGGGTGAAGTTTGGTTTGAAGATGAAAATGTGTTTGGACATACGTTTTCAAAATATATTTTCCAACTTTATTTTGAAAAAACATGTATATAATTTTCAAGTTTTGGGATTTTGGCCCAAATTCAGCTCAATAGCTGATTTTGGAATTTGAAATTTTTGATTTGGGATTTGGCCAAAAGATGAGCAAAATTTATGGCCAAACATGAGTTTTGAAAATAAATCTCAAATTTATTTTGACAAAACTTATGGCCAAACGGGGAGAGTTCTGTTTGGATATAAATTTCAGTTTGGGTTGTTTTTGAAGTTTTGTGAGTATTTTGAGTGAATTTTGAAAAATAGCTTTTTGCAGTTTTTCAAATTTTCGAAAATTTTCAAAATGCATCTTCAAATGAAAATTGGAAATTTTATGAATAAACGCAGATTTTGAAAAAAAGTGAATTTTTTTTGGAAAAATCTTCCATTAAATTTTATGTCCAAACGGGCACTTAATGTAGTCTCAAAGTATTTTTTCTTCCCTCAGAAACTCGAAACCTTTACTCTATATGAATGTAATGTAATGGTAATAGAAAAATGTACGGTAATCTAACCAACCAAAACAGTGAACGTTCAAATGTAACTGAGCTTGCAAATTTGGAGTGCAAGTGTGCAGCAGAAACCATGAGAAATAAATTCTCAAGACTCCTTTTTTTTTTTTTTTTGGGAGATAAATCTCAAACTAATGCAATGCTTCTGCCTTGACCATGAATTGGGATGACATTCTCTTAGGATTTCAGTAACACGAAAAGACGAGTTTGCTTATTTTGCACTTTTAAAGAAAGAATAAATGAAATGGTAATTGGCATTGGTTGTTAAATGCCCACACCCTAATGTGAATTTATATGCATAATTAGAATGTAAAAAAGATTCAACAACTTGTATATATACAAAAGAATTTATGTTTACATTTTACCTTATTTACACCAGGATTCAATTGAACCTCCCCACCATATAGCTCGGCTTGTCATCATTAATACGAGCTACACGTGACACTCACAACAGGGGTCCGACACAAGGGACACGTCTCTTTGTCTTGTAACCAACGACTAACACAAGCAAAATGAAATCCATGGCAACAAGGGGAAAGTATCAAACACATCTCCCCTTTTTTAATATCTGCAATACAAATAGAACAATCGCTGTTTTTCGCTTTAATTTCTTCCTCGCAAACATCTATTACTACTTCAGCAGCTGAATTTTCCGGCGGACATGGGTTTTCCCGAGCTCCGGCTGCTATTTCCTCAACATTATTCGAATCACAGCACCTAAACTTTTTCTTCAGTATGATAAATAATGGCACAAGCAAAAAGGCAAAGGTAATAAAAAAGACATAAGTCCCGTTGATTTTTGGCATCGGTTTGGTGGTGACAAATTTCGCACGTAGGGGCGAGGAGTTTGAAGATATAGAAGAAGAAGAAGGCAACACAAGCTGGTTACGTGTAAGAATTATCAATGATTAATACGTCATTTTGGCGAGCTTAGACTAATTTTTCTTTTTCTTTTTCCTTTTTCTTAACAGGGAAAGAAGTGCAAAATTAAAAACTTTTTATTTTGACGTAGACTGGGTCAGGTATTTACTATTTATGCATTATATGGAGAGGAAACGGTCCAATTTAGCCGAATTCAAAAGTCACCGTCTACGCGCTTTTTTTATTTTATTATTTTAATTATCTAGAACACATGTTATTTATACTTTATTTTTATTCCTTGTCAGATTATTGAGATGGGCAGAAGTTTGGTACTACTACTATTGTACCTCTTGCTACAAAATTTGAACGTTAATATTAAAATTTTAAGCCCAATAATATATTAGAATACAACTAATTTCTTCCAAAAGAAAGGTATGCTAGTGTCCGCAACATTTTCAATTATATCGGACAAAAAGAAGAATTTTCCATTACATACTTGTCCCGTTTTATGTGATGCATTGACACAAAGTTTAAGAAATATAATTTTTTTAAAAATTTGTGATCTAAAACAAATACTCTATATTTGGTGTGCAGAGTCTAAACTAAATCATTTATAAATATAAAAATATTCCGTCCGTCTAAATTTCAGGTCCACTATTGAATTGACACACTTCTTAAGAAATAATAAATAACACCACAATTTTACTATAAATCTCTTAATTATTATTATTGAAAAGTTAATTTTGACTATTATAAATCTAAACTGTTGGAAAATAACAAGGGTAAATTATGTATAAAATGACAAGTTATTTATTAGTTTTTTAAATTAAACAAGTAAAAATAAATGAGTATTATAACAAATAATCTTGAACGGCCCTTAATAAAAGGAAAGTGTATTCATAAATTGGTAAATTAGATGAAGTACTATATTATATAGGCCTGTTCCCCACTTTCAAATTTATTAGTCTCCTCTCTCCTCTCTCTCCCTCTCTCTCTCTCTAGATTTTCTCCTTATTGTGGATTGGTTCTCCGCAATAGGGGCGTTAATCTCGGTGCTCCTAAATCCTATTCCTCAGTGTTCCTTGGATTTTCAGGTATTTTTCATTTTTTCTTGAATGTATTAATTTATGCATTTTTGTTTTTATCCATGGATCTGTTCAAATCGCTAAGCTTATTGTACTGGTTTGTTTCTGTTACTTTTCTTGTTTGCTGTGATTTTTATCTAAATTTTCTTTCGAATTATCACTTGCCGCTATCTTTTTCTACTCTTTAGTGAAACAATCTGCACTTTTTGCTGTCGTTTCAATCTTTTATTTCTGGGTTTTGAAGATATCAGAATAAAGCAATAGCCAGATGAATTGGGAAACTATCTTGCTTGTTCATTTGATGGGGAAAAAAAAAGATTAATAAATATTTATTTCTACAAGAAAAGCTTTTAACTTTTAACTTTTAACGTTTTTGAGTTATGATGAAGATGCATAGAGAATCGGGCCTGCATATTCCTTGAATTTTTGATGTGTTATTGAAGGACTGTTAAGTTTGTTCTTGGATGCCCTTTTCCTTTTGTATAGCCCCCCTTAAGAACCAAAAGGAAAAGAACTTTTTACTCTCCTTTTTCTGATCATGTACTAAATACTAGTTTGTGTGCTTGAATCTTGGACTTGGCTACTTCAACTAACACCATGTCTCTGTATCCTTGAGATAATTATTACTGTATTTTTCCTCTTCCTGCACAAAGTTTAGCCTTGAGTCCTATTTCATCCTTTTTGCAGTTTCTGATGATCTATTAGTGTGTTGTCAATCTTATCGATTATCATTGTAGAATACATGAACTTTCACTTCAAATGTAGGTCAGCAGGATGTTCAAGTGAATGTTCTCGTTATAGCTGATTCTTGCAAACTAATTTGGCTGTTAATACATGCTGTTAATAGCTTTTGCCTGCTTTTTTCTCCAGGTACATTCCTTAATTAGTTGAACACTTTTATGATTGTAGAATACATGAACTTTCACTTTAAATGTAGGTCAGCAGGATGTTCAAGTGAATGTTCTCGTTATAGCTGATTCTTGCTAACTAATTTGGCTGTTAATACATGCTGTTAATAGCTTTTGCCTGCTTTTTTCTCCAGGTACATTCCTTAATTAGTTGAACACTTCTACCGAAGCAAGTTTACCTGTTAGCCATTGAAAATGTTCGGGCTTAAGAAATCACCCTTGCATCTGAATGCTAAAAACCACTCTGTGAATCCTGGATTCCATGGTTATTCTAGTTCAAATCCTTTTGATTCTGACAATGAATCTGACAGCAAGCTAACTATAACACCTGCACGGAGAACTTCGTCAGAGCCTTCTCTAATTACTCCACATTTGAATACAAACCCTTTTGATGATGATGATATTAAAGGGACTCATTCATCTGCTTACTCCACGACTTCAACAGCAAGAAACAGATACAAGAATGACTTCCGGGACTCTGGAGGATTTGAGAACCAAACAGTACAGGAGTTGGAAAACTATGCTGTACACAAGGCTGAAGAGACAACAAAGACTGTTAACAGCTGCCTGAGGATTGCAGAAGACATGAGACAGGACGCAACAAAAACTTTGATCACCTTACATCAGCAAGGTGAACAAATTACAAGAACCCACACAACTGCAGCTGACATTGACCATGACCTTAGCAGAGTATGGTTTTTTAAGTCTATTGCATTTTGTAGTTTGCAAAAGAACTTTTTTTGGATTAACATTACACTTTATATCATCATTTAATGCCAATACCCATCTGTTTTTCTTGTTTCTGCAACTTTTGTTTCTTTAGTTTTTAATTGAATAACTCAAATGTTGTTTGAAATTTATGCTGACTGGTAGATTACTTCCTTGTTCATTTTGAGACGAAAATTTATAGTCTTTAGGAGGGCATATAGATTTTGTTTAGACTTTTATAAAGCATACATCACTAGTCCGCTTCAACCCGTTCCACCTCCAGTCCTTAACCTACAGTTGCCCCATAACTACCAAATACTTTCTTACTATTTCCTTGATATGGAATATTTTGTATCTGTTGTTTCCTTTTGCTGCTGTAGTTATCAATTGGAAACTAAAGCTTGAAATTTGATTACAGGGTGAAAAACTCTTGGGCAGTCTAGGAGGCTTGTTTTCTAAGACTTGGAAGCCTAAGAAGACTCGCCCAATTACAGGGCCAGTAATTACTAGAGGTTACTCATCTGTTTTTGTTCTTGTTCATTTAATATGCTTTGGTGTTCATGAGTAGGGAAAGAAATAACTAACTGGACATTCAGATATAGAAGGCATTAATAAACTGTGGGGAGGTTGTGGCTATTGAGAAAGATTGCTGATTATCTGTTACTGTGGCAGATGATCCAGTTCAAAGAAAGGGTAACCACCTGGAGCAGAGAGAGAAGTTGGGGTTGAGCTCTGGACCCAAGGGACGCGCCAGTTCACGGATACCACCACCAGAACCTACAAACGCACTACAGCAAATTGAGGTACATGTGTGTTACTTGGCACGGAATAGAGACGGATATTAAGAACTCCTTTATATCAATGGTTCAGAGAATTGATATTGGCTCTAGCCTGTTGCGTGAGGAATACAAACTTGCTCTCAAGTTAGTGTTATCACAGTGTGAAGAGTTGCGACCAATATGTCAACTACTCATGGCGAAGGCTTTCCTTCTTCTTTCCTTAACTGTGCTCCATCAACAAGTCGAAGTTGCACACTGTTTCATCTAAACTTTCTATCCATTTTTTTTAAATGAGAGCCTTGAAGCAACGGTATAGTTGTCTCTATGTGACCTATAGGTTGCGGGTTTGAACCGTGGAATCGGCCACTAACGCTTGTGTTAGGTAGGCTGCCTACATTACACCCCTTGGGTGTAGCCTTCCCCTTGACCCTATGAATGCGAGATGCTTTGCACTGGGACTGCCCTTTTTCTATCCATTTGTTTTGCATTCTCTATTTTAGAACGGTGAAGACCCTTCTTATGATGCATTCTCTATCTTAGAACGGTGAAAACTACATGGCTTGTTTTCTGAACTGGGAAGACTAAGAAGACTCGCACCGGGCAGTCTAGGAGGCTTGTTTTCTAAGCACCTATGTGTTTTCTCGCATAGAGAAAGCATCCGAAACAGCCCTAATCATTTTGAAAATTTGACAGGTTGAGAAGGCAAAGCAAGATGACGCATTATCAGATCTCAGTAACCTGTTGGGAGAGCTCAAAGATATGGCTCTTGACATGGGGTCTGAAATTGGGAGGTTAGTGTTTAAGATTGTAAAATTTTCTTTAAGGACTATGAGCCACCTTGCTCTTTCCTTCCTCCCCCTATTTCTTCTTATCTAATCACTTCTGAACATTTCTGCATATTCTTATCTAATCACTTCTGAACATTTCTGCATATTCTTATCTAATCACTTCTGAACATTTCTGCATATGCTGTTGGATATTGCAGGCAGAACAAAGCCCTGGATCATCTTCAAGATGATGTGGATGAGCTCAATTTCCGAGTTAAAGGTGCCAACCAGCGTGGCCGCCGCTTACTTGGAAAGTAACCAGCATTTATCTTTTGGATCTCCTGTATTAGCACGAGATATTAACATGCTCTTTTCTTTTAGTTACATTGTTATTTCAACTCCTCTAGAGTCCTTCGCAAATCTCTCATCTTCCTTCTTTTTTCCTTCCTCTTTTCTTTTTCATTAATCCAATTCCTTTATCTGTTACTTCTGTAAGTTTTGTACACGGTTGACATCAGATCGAGTTAATCAATCAATTTCCTGGTAATCTGAATACAGATCAACAAATTGCACTAACCATTTTGGGGAAATATTCTTGAGCACATTTAACAGTTGTTTAGACAGTGTTAGCATCCAACTTGAAAGTTGCTAGCCACAAAACTGCTGTTATTTCATTTTCTGACAAAAATTTAATTACTCCGTTCTTTAACCACTTGTCGGTGCTAGAGAACAGAACTTGTTAAAAATAGTTCTAGTCATTAAGGCCTTTTCTGGTGCTTTTAAATATCACTAATTGCTTCCATCATTGCCCGGAGAAACAATTTACTGATTGTCTGCCACTGAACTGCACAAAAAGCTTCTACTTTCTGCCACCATTCTCCTCTTCCGATCTTTAGGCTTTACTTGAGCATTACACACTTTCAGATTTCACTACATCTCGAAAGACACGACTTTCTTTGCACACCAATTCATTTGCTCAAACCGAATTTCACCTTGAAGAAAAAGGCGATATCACTCTGAAGCCGCTTAAGTATTGTGTGGACTATTGCATATTCTTTTTCCTTTTTCCTTTTCGTGGGTGCGGCAGCTAAACTAGCTCTTTTAGGGCGAAATTAATTCTGGATTTTTTTGGTTTTTCGTTTTTCATGTTTGCTAGCAAAAATTTAGAACACTGCTATAGATAGAAGAGGGTCACATAGGTTTAACACAATGTAAAAGTAATCTAACTGTGAGTCACACTGAATTCATTTGATTATGCCCACTTAGGCACGTTCTGAATGGCAATAGTATGTAGAGCAGAGTAATTACAAAAGGTTCATATAAACACCTAACTGATATAGAACTGAGGCGTAATCCATTACTCGAACGACCAAACACTTTCAGAGCAGGTGCAATTACTCGAATGACCAACACCTAACATTCCGTGAACCATTCTTACCATCTTTTCAAAGAGAACCCGTCAAAATCTGTGACATTGCGAGATACTTTGCCAAATGGTACCCCAAAAGAAAACGCATTGTAGAACAGATTTTGCCGAGTAGCAGCATTAAAAAACAGTAGCTGAACTGTACTTATGATGTGGGAGAAACGGAAAAAAAAAAGACCCTAGAATCGAAAGTCTAAACACGGTAAAGTTTAAAGAGCACAACAGGGTTTTCCTCTTGGTGCCTTCTGTGATCAAATGCCTTTAGATTCAAAGAAATCCCACTTGAATCAGCTCTCCCAACTTCCAATATGCAACACAATATATACGTAAAGGAACTAACAGGGCAAGCTGGACAAAAGAAATTAACTTCCATATAAAGAATTTCTGGTTCTAACACAGCAAGCTTTTCAGCTGTTATGTCTTTAAGAATGCCTTCATGGCTGTTGTATGTTGCAGTAAGAGCGAAATTTGTATAAAGAAGAGGGAAGTTATGCCTCATTTGGTCCATTAGAAAGCACGAAAAAGATGAGCTAAGTCAAGGCAAAGGTTTTCAGAGTTAAACTGCCCTTCAGTAGCTCCCTTAAACAAACAGAAACAGGAGGCTGCAAGCTTGAGAAGGAACAGGGAAAAAGGAAGTATACTCACCCAAAAATAAAACGAAGGAAAAGGGGCTTTCTGGCAAGCATAATGTTAAGAGAGGATGATAAGTGGAACTGAGAAAGAGATTCTTTTTATCGGGCTGAGAAAGATATATTATAACCTTCTCTTGGTCTTGGTTTTGCCCAAAGTTCTTGAAAGCAGCCTTCCCCTTTCAATTGATATTCTTCCAACATCTCTAATCTAACTGAGCACTTACATATAGTCCAATTACAGAAAGATAACTCCACATGAAACTAAGTTCACTTCAGTTCAATTCTTCATGGGTCCAAATACCTACCTCAACAACATTAGCGAGTACTTCTTAGTGATAAACTTACAGTTTATTCTACTACATATTTACCCTCAATGGTTTGTTGAAGCTGCTATTCCTATTCCCTAATAAATCACAATATCAACAATAACAAACTTCTGCAAAAGACACTGCTAAATTCTACAGTGATTATACACCAAACAATGCAGTATCAGTCAAATCCGAATCAAGGTACTCACGCAGTCACACAGCCAATAATTTGAAGAACTTATCCGGATCCATATACACACACACTCTGGAATCCAAAGAACTACAGAAATGGCCGGCCAACAATGTCATAAGGGCATACATTCCATTAACCAGCTATTCACCAGGCAAATAAAAACCACAATCTCTAATCTATCTAACAAAGTAATTGTTTATCAAGTTCAGTTTAGCTAACAAAATCATTCAAGTCAGAAAAAGGTTAAGCCTTTATACGAAAAATCGATGCTTCCAAATACAAAACTTAGGAGTATCAACGAAAGAACAATAATAATACACGGCAGTGCCTTTTATCACATTGGAAACCCTAGGGCTTTCTACAAAAAACCATTCATAATTCAAGGGATTCACATCGAACACTGCTGGACTATTGAACGCTCATAAAATTATTCTATTGTTTAATCAAAAGGGATAAAAAACGACGAAATTGAAGTTACTAGTTCAATTCCATAACGCTCTTGACCTTGGGGGCGTAGAGAGAGTAAACTATGGCCTGTCTCTTGGCGACCTCGAGCTGGGACCTACCTTCGGAGAAAGCAGCTGCGACCTTTGAGGGATCCGAGAGGTCTTTGTTCTGCTGAAACGCATCGATTGTCCGGCGCTTAGTGTATTCCCGGATGTTGTAATCGGGGAACTGACGCGCCGTCTTCAGAAGCGAACGGAAAAGGGTAAGGACCTCCCCGCGTGACGGCGATGCCATATTTTTTTCGAGAGAATTAACCAAAGGTTTTCAGATTCAGGCCTACGATTGTGTTTCTCGACGCGCGTAGAGGTTTATCTAGAAAAGTCTCGGGTTTTAACACCAAAGTGGAATTCCTTCTTTTTTCTCTTTCAATGGGGAATATTAAACTTTTGTTTATTTTTTCTAATAAAGACCAAAAAAGAAAAATAGCTTTTCTTTTTTGGGTCATGAAAAATAGCTTTAGTATTCCACATTTGATCCCCTATAGTTTGAAAAAATATTTTAGTTTCTTATCATTGTAGTGTAGGATTATAACTATTTAGCAATCAATTGATAGAGGTTTATTCCGTCCACTAATATTGTTTCAATTTTTTTTATAAATTTTAGTAAGTAATTATTATTCGACGTTTACAATTGCTTTTAAACTACAACATGACAATTTATTTTTTTATTTTAAGTTAAAAATCCGTCAAAAGTATAACATTTGTTGAGTATTATGACACTCATATTTGAAATTTAACAATAACCGAGACAATAAATAGTAATTCTTTCCTTATTTTTCAAATTAATCTTGATATCCTTGCAGGGCCAAGCTATTTGTGAAAATTATACTGTGATAGGGTAAAAAATTACGGGGGATTTGCAGCCATACCCCATATTTGTGCCACCTTTTAACTTATACCCTGATTTGGTAGCCAGTTGACAAAAAATTCGTAATAATATGACACTTACACCCCTGATAAATTGCGTGATCTGCAACCTCATTCATGAAAAAAGATTTCCTCCTCTCCTCTCATTAGCTTTATCAAAAAACCAGAAACTTCTTGCAAATGTAGCATAAAGTTGTTTCATGTTGAAGCTAAAACTTCATGCTAATATAGCATGAAGTTGTTTTACATTGAACTAAAACTTCATGCTAATGCACGCTGAAGTTATTTATCCTGCAGTCTACAGTTTTGTCATGAGTATTGAAGTTATTTAGTTCATTTGCTAAAATTTCAGTTTAAACATGCTGTTTACCCTCGAATCCGGATAACAATTGAATTTATATGGGGTTTTAAGGATCCGTGAACTAAAAGATACAAAAGGTTTTTAGGTTAAGGAAAATAAAGATAAAGACTCAACAATTGCTGTTAAAGTAAATAATCGCAGAATATAATATTGCTTAGAACAATTGTGCTTGATGATCCCCCAGAATTTAGAGATATCCCCTTTTATACATTCTGATTAAGGGTAAAAATAAGGTAGGTAAATTGATTACATCGTGGATCCCTGTAATTACGCCTTAATGGCCTGAAGTGGTTGAGAAAATCACGTTTGGGCGAGATATCCGGCGACGTTTGGTTATCCGTTACGAGTCCGGCTTCCGACCTTGTGTGTTTCTCCATCCGGTGGTGACTCCTATCGAGCTCTGTAACGGTCTCGAAATGACTCGACCTCGGTTGTAGACGTGGCCGTCGTTCTACCTTGCATCCAAGTCGGGTTCGATGGCCCCGATTTGCTCCGGACCGGACCCAACCCGGTCGGGCTCAAGCAAAAAAGGGTATCACCTAATACACATGCTGAAGTTATTTAGTTCATTTGCGAAAACTTCAGACTAAACATGCTTAAGTTTTTGTCTTGCAGTATATAATTTTCTAATGAGTTTTTGCTAATGCGTGCCGAAGTTATTTAGTTCATTTGCTAAAACTTCAGACTAAACATGCTTAAGTTATTTAGTTCATTTGCGAAAACTTCAGACTAAATATGCTTATGTTTTTGTCTTGCAGTATGTAATTTTTTAAGGGAAATTACCAGTTATGTCCATTTATAAGTAGCTCATTACAAAAATTGGCCAATTGATAAAATATTACTAATATTAGCCAAATTAGCCAATTAGCTATTGTAGCAAAAATATCAAATTTTTGCTTTGTCTTGAGTGGGTGTTATTAGAATAGATTGGGCACAACTTAAGGAGCTTGAATCTCAGTTTTGGGATGATTTGGTGAAGTTTTGAGGTGGTTTGAATTGAAAATTCGAAGTAAAAGTTGAACATGAAAAAAAATGATATGTGTATCACACGTGTATCATTTGTGTATCACATATGTATCAATTGTGTATCACATGTATATCCATGTATACCTATATGTGTGATACATGCGTGATACATATTTGATACATGTGTCGCAGAAGACTTTTTTGAACTCGATTTAATTACGAATTTTGATACAAAACCAGTCCAAATCACCTCCAATCTTCCTCAAATTTTGTATATTGACTTATCTATATATTTTCAATGAATTTCAACTATACCCATT